AATGTCTCCGTTATTTTGGACTTATTTAAAAACGGTAAAGAGAAAATATGTTTCTTTTATCTACCAGCCCTGAAAAGATTTGCACTTATTTAAGACTCATCCTGTATATCTCAATATCTCTCTACATTTGTATATGCCATTTTCCCACTATTTTTCATTGAATTTCTATTCTATAGCGTCTGGTATGCTACTGGAATATGACATAGTCCTAATTGGCAATAGTCCTGAAGAACTACAACCACAAATTAACGAAATAAATACAGCTAACAATAAAGTTATTAAAAATAAAAAATAAAGTAGTCTCAAAATGAATTTAACAAAAAATAAAGTAATGTACAACGAACTAGTAGATAGAAAAGACATTCTAATAAATAACACCAGAATTTATGGAAGAAACTTAATCATACTTAAATCTAGAATACCACTTTATCTAAAGAAGAAAACATTCGACCAATGTGTACTACCAGTCATAACCTATGCATGCGAAACGTAGACACTTAAAGCGGACATTATAAGGAAAGTGCAGGTCGCACAACGCTCAATGCAACGAAATATGCAGAGAATAACCAAGAGAGATCGTAAAAGGATAGAGTGGATACGACAAAAGTCCCAGGTAATAACTGTCATCCACAGAATCAAATCCCTCAAGTGGTAATGGGCAGAACACCTGGTAAGAAGGACGGACAACAGATGGATCAAGATTACTGCATGGTAACCAAGAGGAAATAAGGGAAGAAGGAAGAAGACCAAACCTAAGAAGGGACCATGCTAGGAAATTAGCAGGGATAACTTGGGCCCGCATAGGCAACAACAGACAACAACAAAGTTATAAGCTATAAGCATGCGTAACCTGAGTTCTCAATCGCGAAAGATGGCCGAGTTCCAAACCTAACTTTTTTAAAAGTTAATTTTTGTATATTCTTGGGTGATTTTTTTTCTCGATATTTTATTAAGTAGTTAATTTTTCCGATATTATCATAATTCATCATCATCATCATCACACAGTCAGTTGCATTTACTGCTAAATCTTAATTTCTACAATTCGCTCTACAATCACAATCACTTGAGTACAAAAACGAAACCTGCAGTGTACCGAGCAATTATAATCCCCACTATTGGAAGCGAAACCTAGGTGCCGTACCGCCGACACATGAACGCATTAAACAAGTTGCAACAGAGACCCCTTAGACAACTCTTAAGAATCCGGTGGTTCCACCATGTCTCAAACGTATCGGTCCTTGAAAAAACTAACTGCGAAAGTATTGGAGTCATGGTTACAAAATCTCGCTTAAGATGGGCTGGTCACGTATGCAGAATGCAAGAAAACCGCATACCAAAATCTCTGCTTTACGGTGAGCTTGTAAGCCGTAAAAGGAGGCCGGGTGGACAACTGAAAAGGTACAAGGACATTTTCCACCAAAAATTAAAGGGGATTAACATGAAGAATGAGAGGGAAGAAGCAGCTCACAATAGAACTCAATGGAGAAGAATTGTAAACCCAGTTAACAGCGACAACCAAAAAGTAAAGAGGCAACAAAGAAATGAGACTTTAGAATGTCCAAAGTGCGGTAGGCAGATAACATCACGTATCGGGCTTTTCATTCACAGAAAAGCTCATGAAAGAATACGCCTTGCGTGACCATCTTCTGATGCGTGTCGAATACTCGTCAGCGAGTAATGGCAGTATAGTATGTATACAATTCGCAGTATCTCGCAACATTCAATTTGACTCAATCCTCTTAAAATTGTTGGAACAGCGTGCAGCGCGTGGATGGACGACCTCTACTGCGATAAGCTTCTTGCCTGGGCGTCAATTCAATTATTCTTCCTAGTCCACCGGTTATCTGTACCCAGAAAATATTTCGAAAAATTGTCAAAAAATTACATATTTTTTGAAAATCCTCCTATATTTATATAGTGGGGTATGTTAGCTTAAAATCGTGCCAAAATATTTCACATCTGGCAACCAATGCACCCTTTTGGATTTAGATAGTACATGGATAGAGAAGTCTAAAAAGCTCGGGACACAAATTTTTCTGGCCCTCTAGCGGTCTTGATGATCTAATCAAAATGGCCGCCAAAATTTTTAGACACGCTTCTATATTTCCCGCTATAAGTCAGTTTAACTTTTTTATAAAAGAGGAGGAAACGCGCTTTTTAATGGTATATTTCACAAAATTATTTACGTTTATAATAACAAAAATATTTGTTACTTAAAAAAAAGTGTTTTTTAATTTTATTTTTTCGTCAGATTTTTCTAAATAACTTGAAATTCACTATATGTATCTAAAAATGTGTTCTATACTTTTTTCTTCGCAAAAAAATTACCTTTATAACTGTATATATTTCTTCTATTTTATCCTAAACAGTTGCTAAAAATCTGACAAAACAATGTAGCGTTGCACAGCTATTCGTTAGGGCAACAATGTAATTTATAGATTTCGTAAAGTAATACAGCGGTTTTGTACCTGCTAAAAAGCATAAAAATTAATAACTAATTTTAGATGAATAAGTAAATAAAGTATAGTTTTTTTCGGAAGACGAAACTTTGATTTCCGTTTTAATAAAATCGCACACATGAAGCACACTCGAGGTATAACTGTAAAGTAGCTTTCAAACATACAGTTATATATAGTTACAGAAGTCATATCCAGAGTAGAGGATTTGCATTACCCGTTCACTTATGATTACCGATCACTATCCGAGCACTGTCCTTCACATACACGAAGTTTTGCACAGCGTATTCCCATTTTAACACATTTACAAGATGTACATCGCTTGCGGCAAGTACAGGAGGTAAGTTCTACACAGTGTTTTGAAACTTCTGGAATTGTTATCCCCGCAGGTCGGTATGATCCTTCCGAAGTTAGTATCCATCCCCACTCGGTTGGTGAAGGTATCGTGTATTGTGCAACGAGACTTTTGCTCCAAATTCTAGCTTGGAATGTATTTTTTTAATATTTATTTTTTCTGGCTCGTTTGATATGTTGTATCCATATATGTATATGTTCCAGCTTCACCTTTAATAACTTTATTATTGTGTTCATGAAGCTGATCGTCAGATATTGCAGAAAAAGTTGTAGCAGTTTTGCTGCTCGTAAAGTTACCACGAAGAAATTGAGCATGTACATCTGGATTTGAATTTGCATGTAATTCTGCAGTAGCTATTACTATGATATCTATTATATGACGTATCATGGATGGCGTTGCAATTTCATCATTAAGAAGTGGAAGCAACGACGCATTACACCTAATTTTTTTAATACCAGGATCATTGTGTGCATGAAAAGCAGCAAACGATATTGTAGGCACATGCTCGTATGTACATACTTGTTGTATGTATGCTCGTAGGCACATACTTGTATGTCTTCAATATACACTCTCTGCAGGACAGAGTTAAGCAAATGACTTAAAACTTTCCTAGGGGTGAATGCAGGATCGTGGTCGGTGTACAGTGGATTGACAGTTGGCAAAGGTTGGCACTTGTTACTTTACCAGTTGCAGGAAGTAGTAGTAGTAGTGTAATATTCAGGTAGACCATTGAGAATTAGTTTGTTCCACTGCTGGATACGAATGCTGTCATCGTCAATCTCTATAGTTCACTGTGAGGATGCTGAATAATAGTAACACTTGAACCATGGAAAGAAGTAACGGCAGTAGAAGAAGACTGGTTATGATCAATGTTATCTATTGCTGATGTTACAAACACAGTGGGACATGACTTAGGAGGGTAAACACCATCTTCCGTATATTTTTACTAATAGGTACATTAAAAATTCCAGCAATTACATTTGATAGTTAAATAGTCATTAGGTCGTTGTATTACTTTTCAGGATCTATATAAATTGTGTTTTTACCATAACGACTAGATGTGTAACGCTACAATATTTTGGCAAATTGTCAAAAACCGTTTGTGACAAAATAGAAGTCATATATACCGCTAGAAAGATAATTTTCTGACGAACAAAAAAGCATATGATACGTTTTTAGCTAAATGTAACTGATTTCAAGTTAACAAACAAAAAATTTCAAATATTTTTGGTTCTGTGAACCTATACTGTAAAACCAAATACACCGTTGGGAAGCATGTTTTCTCCTAATTCATAATCACTAAAAACATATGTTAATATCGGAAAGGAAAATTGAGTTATAACGGGAAATCTAGAAGCGTGTCTCAAAATTTTGGCGGCCATTTTGATTACGTCATCAAGACCGCTAGAGGGCCAGAAAAATTTGTGTCCCAGGCTTTTTAGACTCGTCTACTAAACTTTTTTCAGCCAGCTCACCCCACTAATAAAAATTAGCACGTTGATGTAAACTCACTATCAAAAAAAACATCGATTTCTTTGGAGAAAAGTGTATTGATACTAGTGCATAAATGTTTAAATAAACATACAAAACAAACCCACATTTTCTCTTTTTCAATTTTATTCACCATTTAAAAACCGTATTTTAAAATAGTTTTATGCATATTAATCAAAATTGAGCTTTTACTGTAAACAAAAATCTTTTGTTTACAATCGATAAATACGAATAAACTGAAATTATTGTGAAAAAGCACGATTTAACACGAATATGGGAATATTTATTTATCGACATATTTACAAAAATGGTAACGCTTGTTTTCTTCAAAAATTCGAAATTTGTCCAAAAAAACAAATTTAGAAACCACTGTTAATTCTTCGAAATATCGAGGATTTTTGCTATTTGCCCAAAAATTGATGTTTACATAGCTAATAGTTAAAAAATCAATGCATTTTATGTTTTTTTAGGCCAATTAGATATAAAAAAACATAAAAACACTTCCATACTTCAAAATCACATACTTAATTAATGGAAGGTAGTTGTTAAAATAAGTTCATTATAAAATAAACCAATAAAAGGAAAAAGGGGAATTATAAAAATTATAATAATGTTAAAGATAATTTAAATATTATATGGTCGAGAAATGAAGAAGTAAAAAGCTCACAGTACTGTTTGTTAAATTAATTTTTTTTCAGGTTGATACTGCTACTACAGAATCAGTCGTAACCGTAGATTGGGAAAATGGTTTTGTGGAAGCTTCCGCTAAAGAAAATATCAACGTAAGCAAAGTATTTAAAGAACTTCTCGCACAAGCCAAGGTAAGACATAGATATCTAGATTAGCTTAAAAAATAAAAAGTGCCCAAATTTATCATTTCCGTCAAATAACTATCTAGTCAAAATATTTATTTTGAATCAATAATGACATGAATTGACTATTTCCATTCCAAATATCTTAAAAACGGTTGCTTGTAGCGTTTTTACCAAGAGAATTTTTTTACCAATATTTTTTGAAACATATATATTCGTGCCACCCCCTATAACTTTTTTATTTTTTCAGATAGAAAAACGATATTTGGTATGTTAATATATGACATAAATTAGGATTGATTGACGTATTCAGTTGTTTTTGCCATTTCCTGTTTCACCGGAAATCACTTTATCCCTAGAAAATGACACTCTGAATAGAATGCCATACCATATGCCAACTTTTGACATTTTCGCATATGGTTTATTTGAAATTGTAACATGCGGTTCATAACGATATCTTCACTTGAAATGCCAAGTGTGAAATACCAATAAATATATTAATGAGTTACTCTTATTCCATGGAGCAGTTGCTTGGTATACAAAACTAGAGCAACGTAAAGCAAGGCAAAACCTGTGCAAAGTACAGAGACTGGCATCACAGGTGCCATGAGAACATGTCCAACAGCAGCAATGGAGGTCATTCTAGAGCTAACACCACTGCACATTGTCGTCGATAGTTATGCCAATGCGACAATGATTAGAATGGTTACTGACGCAAACAGTACTGGGAGAATTTTCAAGTCATGGGCTTGGAACACCCTCAAAAAGAAAATTCCACTTCTCCAACTCCCAGTGGATGACATAATAAGAATTTACAACTTTGAGAAACACCTCACTGTAGTATTGAGTAATAAAAAGGATTGGAAGAAAGAAACGCTTACTCAGCATATAAAAGACCATACCATCACGTGGTATACTGATGCTTCCAAAACCAAAGCAGGGACAGGGATAGGAGTATTTGGGCCGAAAACTGAATACTCCGAACCAATGGGCACCTACCCCAGTATCCTTCAGGCAGAAATTTGCGCTATCGAAAGATGCGTACAATTTATCTTAGATAGGAACTATCGAAAACAGGAAATTGCCATCCTATCCGATAGTCCAGCAGCACTTAACGCGATCAACTCAGTAACCATCAATTCGAAGTTGGTCAAAGAATGCCTAGAGAAGCTCAACAAATTAGGCACAGAAAATAAAGTCCTTCTACTCTGGGTGCCTGCTCACCAAGGGATAGAAGGCAATGAAAAAGCAAATGATCTAGCTAGAAAAGGAGCGAACACTCCACTAACTGGACCAGAACTGTTCTGTTTTCCAAACGGGAACCAACTGAAAGCGGAACTGAAGAATCTGGAAGACTCCATCCGTAACTTGGAATGGGTGTCCTCCAACGGTCTAAGACACTCGAAAAAGTTCCTTAGAACTTATGACAGAGAAATATCAAAGGTTTTCCTTGATTTAAGTAAAAACAATCTTCGGATTGTCACGGGGTTTCTAACAGGACACTGTCTCCTCAAAGAACACCTCAGTAGGCTGAAACTGAGAAACAACGGCGAATGCAGATTTTGTGGGGAAAATGGGGAAGCACCGGAACACCTTATCACTGAGTGCGCCGAGACGACGACCATTCGTGCCATGAACCTTGGTACGTCTGATGTCGAGGATGGAGAGCTGGCCTCTGTGGACCCGTCTCAGATACTGGCTTTTCTTAAAGCCCTGAGACTGTATGATGAGTTATAACTCGTTATAACTCAAGAAAGGGGAACACACAATAGATCTATAAGGTCGCGGTGATTAACTCCCCTCCTAAACATTCTACATTCTACATTCTACTCTTATTCCATTTGAAAAAATCGAGATATGATTAAAAATACGATGTGGGACCCTCTTTTAACCGGCCAGGACAAGACACGAAAAACACTAGACAATCAAATATATTTTTCCAATGCTCCTTGATTAAAAATTAGTGTTTTTAACACAGCCATGGCACTCTAGATTGAAATTTAAAATACAATTTTTTAAGAGAAAGTGTCAAATGATGACTATCGTCATTCTATTAATTTCTTTGTCATTCTATTGTCATTCTATTCATCGGAATATCATTTTCTATCAAATAATTTAAAAAAAAATACAGACTGGTCAAAAAATTAAAAGTTGTAGTTATTTCCGCTAAAACAGGAAGTTACTGAAAATCCAGAGAGATAATTAAAAGAGTATATGAGAAAGTTGATGCAGTGGCGCATCCAGAGATTGAGTCTGGGAGGGGTAGTGGCAATATTTAAATAAAGTCATAGATTTAAAATAAAATTTTCGCTCAAAGGTATTGTGACTATAACATAAAAAAAATTAACTTAAATTGTCCTGGATTTCTATTTTGATTGACATTATTAATTTATTTTCTGCCAATTTTATTTTATAACAGATTTTCTTATTTATAAATTTCTTCCTGGCAGGGGTAATTACCCCCATTACACCTCCCGTATATGCGCTCCTGATAAGTTGACATATGATATGTCACTCTGTCACTGATTAAACTAGAAAAATACAGGGGGTGTCATTTAAAAATCAACAGTTGTAATCATTTACGGTGACACAGGAGGTGACCGAAAACAATTATTGAATATATTCACTCAATTCTAATTTATGTTATAATATACTAACATACCAAATCTCTCGTTTTTTATCTGAAAAAATAAAAAAGTTATAGGGGTGAGCCTCTTTTGAGATGCACCATGTATTGCCAGAAAACAACTTTGCGCAACATTTCTTTAATTTACATATATTAGGAACAAGTTTATTGATGTCGAATTAATCCTTTATCAGACTTAATGATAAAATAGCAGTGCGTAGTATTTAGATTTTTGATGATGCAGGTTCAGTGAATCAACATTCTTAAAATAAGTTCATTATTTCAAAAGAAAACTTAATTTTCTTCAGAAACACTGATCTCCATAATATATCGTTGTACAATTTAAAACTAATACGTACGTAGCGGTTTCATAAAATTGCACAATGATTTATAACTTTTTAATGTTTCTGGGTAATAAAGAACAAAAGTTATATTACTTTTGTGGATATCTGGGAATCAATATCTATATTGCTTTTCCCGCTAAACCAAAAAACAAAACTTATGTTTTCAATAAATCGTAATAGACTTCTTTTATAGGAACATAAAAACGATGTTTTCAGTTATTTATATTTTCTTATAAGATACCGAACATAAAGAATGAAGAAAGTAAAATTAAATTAATTTTATTCTCAATTTTGTAATTATTTTTTATCGAATGATTTGGTTACACCTCTCTATTTGAAGAATTTTTGTTCTTTTTCATCATAATTGTATGTTGATAAGCTTTGGTCTGCATGAAATAAAATATTTTTTTGAACTGACTTGATTGTCTTTAATTTTGAAACATTAATTTTGAAAACATGTTTATTTTTTGTCAATAGTGACAGGTATTGATAATTTACATTCCATGTATCTTGAGAACGGTTAGTCATAACGAAGATGCCTTTTTTACGTAAAAAATTGCAGAAATGTATATTTTTTGACTAAGTAGTTTTATACAGGTACAGACGAAACTTTATTTATACAGGGTGGCGCCTCTCATACGACGCGGAGGCTCCAAGGAGAACGGAAGTTTATATCGAAATTAAATTTTGGCAGCATATGTACAGTACGTCTGTCCGTTCTTTAGCTACGGTGTATCTGTGAGAGGGGAAACGATATTCTCTCGATGTTTTTCGTAAAAAATTAGACGACGCGTCCCATCAATAAAAATTCAACAAATTTGCAAGTAGCCAATAAAATGAGTTGGCGGAGCGATTTGCGGTGAAGTACTCGTCAAGTCGACGTATAAAATATATATAATATATTGCCGTATATTTAAATGTTTTTTGTCCGCATTCCTTTCATAGACACAGATCCAGCAGACGTACTGTAGGTTAACGAAAGCACTTTATAAAAATATATAGAGTTATACAGGGTATCCCCAAAAAAAGTTACACATCAAAGTTGTATTTTTTGTAATGGTACATCGAAATCAAATTTCTCATGTTAAAAACACCCAGACATCAATTTTCATCTAAGTATTGATATTTGTTCAGAAATTATTTAGAAAGAATCGAAATAAAAATGAAATTTCTACACCCTGTATCTCCGAAACGAAGCATTTCATGACGTAAATGTATACGAATTATTTACGTATTTTTATCGGTAGAATATGCTGCCGACGTTTTCCGAATACAATTCGGACCACTCTGTATATTACAGGGTGGTCCGAAGGTATTATTTTGTTGAAAACTATTTTGATTCAATGGAATTGTTACTAATAATCGTATTAAAATACACTTCTTTGCATAAACGATTTGTTGCCATTATTCTTAGAATATTCTTGTGACATTAATAAACATGTACCTTGCAGGTAAAGTACAATTTGTCTCCGGCCCTGCGCAGGCGCAGGCGTCAGTCGTTGCCGACAGGGCCCGTGGGGCCCAGCACACCTTCCCACGCCGCCACCGCGCCTATGATCCCGTCAGCCGTCCAGCTGCAGCACCTGCAGCAGATCAGAGACAAGCAGGGCAAGCGAAACTCCTGCGTCATCTCCTAAGAGGATGGGACACCGCGAAATGCTGACGGGGGTCGCGGAAATCCCCCGAGATGTTGGCGAATCGTAGAAGTGCGACTCGAGTGTTCTACGACGCTTACGTCGTAGTTTGAGTGAGATTTCTACGATTCTGTGTGAAGTGTCGTAGCGGTCTTAATGCGGGTATTTATCGAAAATAGACGGGCAGTTGCTGCAATGTAGTTTTTTTTAGTGATGGGATAACTCAAGCGAAAATTCGCTCGAGTACTCGATTATTGAAATAACCGACATCGCTCGATTATGAATGAGCGATGCAAGTGACGAGTTACAAGCGACGAACGCAAGCGATCCTAGAATGATATAAATTGAAATTCGATTTTAATGTGATATACTCTATAAAAAGCCGAGCAAATTTTCTACATACATTCCAGGTAGCAAATTTATACGATGTTATCCGTTGCGTATCTGAGGGACAAAATTTTACGACCTACATCGACAATGCTTTGAAATAAACTAAATCAAGCGATCAAGCGAATCGCTTGCTACTTGCTATTCATCACCGAAAGAATATGTGCCCTGCGCACGCAACTAACTGCTTGGCGCTTGGCGTTAACGAGTACTTACAACAAGCAACGGTCAAAAAACCGTATTTTTAAATACGAGCGCTATTTCGCTCGAGCGATTGCTCGATTATTGCAATCGCTTGAAACTCGAGTACTCGATTATTCAAATTAATCGGTTTTTTCCCATCACTAGTTTTTTTTGTATTCGTTACTAATATGAGGTTCTATATATAATTTCGCTGTTCTGAATGAAGCATAAGTTTAAAGCTTCCTTCAGAACCTCGAAATTGGTGAAATAAATTAGTGGTTTCAATTAGCGTAGAAGTGTGTTCCTCTAATTTCAATGTAAGCCAAAATTAGTGATAGCAATTTTCAATTAATAAAATAAATTAACTATACTTTTACTTTTTCCACTAATTATACTTCAAAATTAGCGAGTAGTGTCATTTTGGCCTTTGATTATCATCCGTCAAGAGAAACTGTGGTTATAAAAAAGAGGATGGTTTTATGAGGAGTAAAAATGATACTTTTTGTGGCGAAGCTGTACGTTTGACCACAGATTATACAGATTATAAACTTTGTTTTTTCTTTATTGTTTTCGTGGTTCCAATTTTCGGAATCGGGCACTAGTTAGGTTACCAGTTTGCGCACATAGCACGCCCACTTGGCCTGTAAAATCGTGCACAGCGCCTGACCGGCACAGTTATTAGAGAGATATCGGAAAACCGAATAGCGTCATGCAGTATTTACGCGTACCTTATCATGGTTACGATATACGAGTCAATTTTTAACGCAACGCCCGCTAATAACGTTACCGCCTGACGTAATTTGCGGATCAATTACACCAAGCGCTATTTCTAAATAACGTTTAAAAATTGCTTAAATGGGCATGTGGTGGTATTTGACAACGGGAACGGCCGGCGAGATCTTTTATTTTAGGTTATGTTTGAATTGCTTTGAATTATTACTTTAGTTTTATTAGGTAATTCGATATTTAAGTAGCTGGGATTAGTTTCAATTAAATAAATATGGCCCAAAATATGGATTCCACCTCTTCCAATATTAAGGAACCTATAAAGAGGCTTAGGTTTACAGCAAATGACGACTTAAGCTTGATTTTCATGCATCCGTTGTCCGACGATATGTTGATACGATATTAATTTTATTGGTAGAATTTAAAAACTTTGATTGGTTAGAAAATAACGCAGTTTTTAAATTTATTGCATTTTCATGTCTCCGTTTATCGGATATACGTTGATGTTATTTTATATTTTCGTTTCCATAACGATTTTACTATTTTATTAAATTATCTTTTTATTAAGGTTAATTAAATTTGTCAAAAAAGTGCCAAAACGTCCGTTATCGTATGAACGGGTCCGTTGACGGGCTGAAGTAAAATATTTACGGATGAAAAGTGGCGCGAAAACGCTATGACCAATCAGAGCACCGTCGGACCATCGTATCAACGTATAACGGATGCATGAAAATCAAGCTTTAGCCCTTCTAAGAGAATTTGTTGCTTGTTGCCCTAAACCCACTGGCAGACGTTGAACAATAAAGCACTGGAAATAAGCACTTTAGCCCTTTAGTTTTAAAATACCTAGTAAACAAAACAATTTCAAAGTTTTAAATTCAAAGTTAGGTTAAGTTTAAATAGCGGACGCGACGCGAACAGAATTCTTTCCGATCCGATAACTATAAATGAAGAGAGTTAATACCACCTCACGTAAATGAAATAACACCTGGCCTTATTGACGTCCATGCACGCTATTCGGTTTAGCGATATCTCTATTACGCTGTTTATTGTTATTTTACGCGAGTTTATTTTTGCGCACAGGAAATTTTACTCGTTTGCACATCGTCATAAAAAACAATTTTCGTACCACGAATTAGGGATAAGATTTTTATCTGTATACATATAGTATACCTAATCTGTGGTTTGACATTACAGGCGAGGCAAAAAAGTCATTTTTACTCCGAATAGAACATGCTATTTTTTCAAACGTCACAAATAATATTTTAAACAATTTTAAACGTTCCAAATAATATAAAAATACAAATCAGTTTAATAATATATTTTCTTACTTTTTATGTTTAGACGCAAAAGGTTCTTTACTTGGAAAAAGACTGCTTTTGAAAAAATAAGCTAATAAAAACTACGCTTTTTCTAGGAATACAACCGAATACCGCAAGCTGTTGCTAGAATATTCTAATAATTTTAATTGTAATTTTTAGACATTTTGAAGGATAAAAAATAGTAAACTCATAAGCTTCATTTGGAACTTAGTGGAATAAATTAGTGGTTTCAAATTATACTTTATACTTAAAAGTTTACGATCATTCACAATACCTAAAAAACAATTAAAGTTTATAGGATATCCTAGCAACAGCTTGCGGTTAGCTCAATCAAAACAAACTGTTCATTTTAAGCGCAATTGAAAGGGTGGCTGCAATAACCAGGCAGCTCCATTTTTTCGAAAATGAGATTTTTAATAAATTACCTTTTAAAAAAAATTGGCCGATCGTTTCCTGCAACAATCAGTTCTCTCAATACAACAGTGCATAAATGGCGACGTTAGTTGAAGCTGCCTTGCTCTGGGTTTGCAGCAAGAACCGAGCAGCTCTTTTTCAATTTCCCACAAATTTATTAAAATGGAGCTGCTTGGTTATTGCAGCCACCCCTTCAATTACTCTGGCCGGGTTAAATCAAAGACTAAAATGACGTTGCTCGCATGTTTTGAAGTCTAATTAGTGGAAAAAGTCAAAAATGTGTGAACTTTTTCTACTAATTGAAGATTACTACCACTGGTTTTGCCATTCTGAATGTCTGCATTAAATTTAGAGGTATAAACGCTAAATGAAACCACCAATTTATTCCACTAATTTCGAGGGTCTGAATTAAAATAATTTAAGTTATATTATGTTCATTAAACGTAGACTAAAATAAAATTTAGATAATATACAGGGTGCTTCAAAACAAATGAGAAAAACTTCAGGGGTGATTCCTTGTTCAAAATAAAGGGTAGTTTGCTTCATAAACGTTGGGTCAAAAAGTCAACCATTAGGGAGATATTGCGGTACAAAGATGGCGGAAAAATAATGTTTTTATTTTTATCTTGAAAACGAAAAGAGATAGACTAATAAAATTTTATGGAAGCATTACTGTTATGAAAACACACTTTCTGGTAATTTTTCACTTTTTAAAATGAGTGGAAGGGGTTGAAATAAACTACACCTATCATTCTTGTTAACGAAATTTAAAGAAAAATCTTATCAAACACATGCAAAAAAATTAATTTGGATAGTTTAGTTTGTTTAGAAACTTTTTTATCTCTTGTATTTTTTTGATAAAACTCACCGATTTGAAATTAAAAAATGAAATGTAAAGCATTACATGTCAGGACAAAAAACATTTGCTGATAAAGAATCTAGTGGGCTGCTGTAATTTTTTTAGGAAAAAATCTAGTCGGCCGCTGTTACTTTTTAGGATGTTCCTAATATTATTTTATTTGACATTACTCTACTGCAATACGTTATTATCTAGATGATTATTATTATCGTTGTTATCACTAGATTCTTAATCTAAAAATGTTTTTTGTCCTGACATGTAATGCTTTACATTTTATTTTTTAATTTCCAATCGGTGAGTTTTATCAAAAAAACACAAGAGGTAAAAAAGTTTCTAAATAAACTAAACTATCCAAATTACAGCATTTGCATGTGTTTGATAAGATTTTTCTTTAAATTTCTTTAACAAGAATGATAGGGGTAGTTTATTTCAACCCCTTCCACTCATTTTAAAAAAGTAAAAAAATTACCTGAAAGTGTGTTTTCATAAGAGTAATGCTTCCATAAAATTTCATTAGTCTATCTGTTTTCGTTTTCAAGATAAAAAATAAAAACATTATTTTTCCGCCATCTTTGTACCGCGATATCTCCCTAATGGTTGACATTTGACCCAACGTTTATAAAGCAAACTACCCTTTATTTTGAACAGGGAATCACCCCCTAAAGTTTTTCGCATTTGTTTTGAAACACCCTGTATATAAAAATACTAAGTATTATAAAAACGTATCGTAAGCATGAAAATATAAATTTTTTTGTATAAAATTTCACAATAATATTTCATTTTATTAAATAAACGCCCCTCTATTTTCGAAAATAATTTAAGTATAAAAATTAATATCAGTCTTAGCCTATTTATAATACTTGACGCCCATGCCCAGTATGCTAAGCTCAAAAAAACTTTTCAGATTTGTTTATTTTTTATAATTAATTATTTATAGTTTTGATATGTTATTTTAACTATATTTTTCAAAATTTTGCTAACTATTCTAACAGCTTTAACTTGGCTTGTTTTATGCTATACTAAAAATGATTTCTTTAATCATAACGTCTTATATTTGAGCATGTCGAGATACTTATAGTCTGTCCAACGACCAAATCCTTGACAGTTATAGATGTGCTTGTCATTTCAATTTCAAAGTAGTTTATTTTATTTTACAACGAAATAAGTTGGTACAATTAGTACACATAGCAAGAAATTAATTATATCTAAAATTTTAGTGACAAGTGGTTATAATTACTTCATAACTGATTAAATTCGAGAGATTTTTTATTTTAAATTAGCGATTGTTTTTGAAAATCTGATCTTGAAACACCAAGAGCGAAGTATCTACTGGGCGTGCGCGTCTCAGCGTCACATTCTTCCACGTGTCGTACGTAATATTTAAATGTCATACTTTTAATGCCAGTCTTGTGCGTGTGGGAGAACGTATGCGTGACAATTTTGACGTTTTAGATCAATTTAGAGATAGGTTAGGAATTATATGAAGTTAGGTTAATGGAATAGTTGAAAACCTAATATGAAACGAATCGAAATGATACAGATAACGAAGGTGTTTAAATATCACTTCAAACCTCAAAGATGGTTGTATATTTTTAAAGGTTGATTCTCACTATACCTTCCGTATCAGCTACCTTCCGTTTCTCTTAAAATATTATATCATGTAAATGAATCGGACAATGCACACTATCCGTTCCATTTCCCTTGCATTCCATATCCGTTCCTTCCATACAGTTTTTTGGCGAACGGACTGAAGCGTATCAGAAACAATGTTGTCAAGTTGTTACGTATTAGTACCAGCTATATTCTCTCACTACTTAATTAAATCTATTGCCTTTTTCAAAAGATACAAATTTTTAAAATAAAACTTTCGTAATGATATAAATTGTAAAATAAAAAGTATGGAATTGATACGGAACGGAAGCATACGTATAGCGTGAATACAATCAAAAATACGGAACAGATATGGAATTGAAACGGAAGGTATAGTGAGAATCAACCTTTAAGCTGCACACACACCAGCATGCATGTGGATCATAATATATGTTTTTCATACCTAAAGTTTCCATACATCCGGATAAATCCGGACATCCAGGTTTTTTAAAGTGTCCGAGGTGGTCAACAACTTTATTAAACCACGTTTTTCAAAAATCTGCTAAAGAAGGGTGCTTTTCGACGTTTTTAAAAAGAAATGACAAAAAACTTTGACAAGGCATCCAAGTCGCGCAACTCTAATAGTATATTTGAAGAGCAGACTTTCTACATGCATTTCGTCCATTTTTCGAATCTTGGCAAAGAAAGGAAAACTGCTACGCTTTTTGCAGGAAATTTACCGAAAAATTAATAGACTTGAAAAATGAATAAAAAATTAAATAGTAAGTACACCTACAGGTGAAAAATCTAGTTTTGATGATATCTGAAAAAAAATGAAAAAAACTGTTGTACTGTCTTTTAGACGTAAAATTTCTCTTTATTTTTTCTGCTACCACGGTCTGTATATTATTCAAAAAAAAAATAGGGAAGTTGTAGTACAAAAAAATATCTTCATCTGGCAATGACAATGAACAAATAGCAGTAAGTCCATAGCATCTTACGGATATACATCTGTTTCTTTGTCTACCGCCAATGGACATACACAGCACATATAATGTTTCAGGTATTTTCGCCATTTAATTCGAATGGGATAAAATGCATTAAGAACTTCTTCGTTTCTGACGTAACATTGTAAGTCTGTGTATGTAGTTTGATATACCACCTTTGGTTGAAAATCTTAAAAAATGGACAAAATACATTTATTCTTCGGAATATATCTATATAATAATTCAGAAGGTATTTTTATCGCCAGTGGATTTATTCACAGATGTATTTATAGTTCTTTTATTCTTAATATATGTATCCCATTTGTTGTCATCATCTGCACAAGCTGAAGCCAGTATCATTGGAATGATACTGGCTAATGGATATGGTTGTATCGTACAAATTTACCCAAATGTTCTGCTATTAAAATGGACACCCTCTTGATAATCTGGCTTATTGTAGGTTGGTTAATACCACGCAAGTCTCCATTTAATACCTGAAAACTACAAATCGCATAAAACCGTAAACAAATTAGTAATTGAATAACGGGGAGAATGGGTAACCCACGATTGGTAGGTTTTTGCAAGTCTTCAATTATAAGAGGTAAAATATCCTCAAACTCTTCTAACATATTTAAAACTGTTTAATTGTTTCAGACAAAACGGATTTACTTTGTTTACTAAAGTTAGGTTAAGAAACTATCGGAACTATCCAATCCACAGATCACATAAACTATCCAAAATGACAATCTCCAAAACGATAATCGCAGTCTCCAAAATGACGTTTGCTCTGTGGTTTGCTCTCTCAAGAGCCCAAGTCTTGGCGTCTCGAGACGCGACTATAAATACGGGCCTTTTTTTTAGTAAGTCTGCTCCTCATTTATTTTTTATTTTTAGACAAGTCAATAACTAAGTGCATTATTTAACATTTGCTGTCTCTAATGATAAAAATTCAATTTTCCACAAACCTTTTTGCGGACAAAATATATGCTGATTTGTAGACTACTACCGTTGATTGAAAGAATTGGGAAGATACGCAACCTAATGGGCGAATTTGCGACAAGGCTTATGTGATTTCACCTTACGTCTCAAGTGTTCTACAGTGGAGACACCAATCGTTCTGCGGCTAACGCATAAAACAATTATTTTCTCTAATTCGGCTAGCGAAAGCATATCGGAGACGGTGTGGGTCTGTAAACGGCAGTGTTACCATATTAAAATGTGTAATATCTGTAATACGTTTGACAAAAATATTTTTGAATGAAAAATCCGCGTTTATGTATTGAAAATTTATTCGTGTCTTGTGTCAAACATAGAATAAACAACAAAAATAAAAAATCTTTTATAGGTACTGAATATGTCGTATGATTACATCGTACAACTCTTACATCGTTCTTTGTTTAATCATATAATAGTATATCAAATTGTTTAATGATAGAAAATCCGTATTATGAACGTACTGTACCCAAAATCCGTAAATCTATGGAGTAATCAGTAGTTCTGGCAACACGCCAGCTACATCTCGGACAGGTTTTGTGCCACGAAATTGCCCATAAGGTTGAGAGTTTTCTTATTATTATTATTTATTCGGTGTTGAGATTTGAAAACGGGTTTGAGGTGTTGACAACAACCGGTTTTTCAGTCGGTGTACACAAACTGACACAATATTGATCTCAATACCGGTTTTGACTCCGATATCGGTTTTAATCTAGACACCGTAATCTTTACACTAGCGTCTTAAGCTTTACTAGTCTACTCGGGCACCCAGCAATGTTGTCGTTAGTTGTCCCTTAATTTCATGATTTTCAATTGTTAGCTAAACTAAAGACGTTTATTTTTACCGTTTATTTCAAAGTTTGATTGTTTGGTTTATTTTGTTCTTAATAGCGTAGATGAAAAATTAGATATACTTACTTATATTAATAGTAATCAGAATACTAATTTTATATTAGTAGGTGTTCTGATGACTAAGTGTAATGTATAATATTTATAAGTGCAAAAATAAGTGCTTCGGAAACATGTTAAAAAAGTTCATCCTAACCAGATACAGGAAATTGCACCTTTACTTAGGACTTTACTTTCCCAAAACTAAAATATCGCATTTTCCTGCGAATTCTGTATCAAAAATTTTAGTGCAAAGTTTAAGTAAAATTATATCAGGAATGGCATCGATATTCATTTCCAAGCCAAACTAGACGCCGTTTTTTTTTCCGGTCATATGATATTATTCAAAAGGAAAACGTTTTAGCACAAAAAAGAAGCTTAGATAAATCCTTTGATAAACCCCAGAAAATTGAAAAAAAACCATCTGAACCAAAGTAAAAATTATTGTAAAAGATTTAAACAACATTGTTTATACATTGACTTTTTATTAACGCAGTTTCACACATAATAATTCATCAGCATTTTTGCATTCTTTGAGATTTTATTTTTAGATGGTTTGTTTAATGTCACTCTGAATAAAATTCAGTGAAAATGTAAACCTAATACTTGATCAAAAGTAATTATTATTAATATATCTTATATTTTTATAAACAAACAATAAAAATAGTTAAAGTATTTCTAGTTATTGAGCAAAAACCTGGCAACATTGTTGGGTTCCCTAGTAGACTAGTAGAATATAGACGCTAGTAATCTTTACCGGTTTTTTATAGGTCTATTTCTATGTAGATACTTGTTTCTTGTTTGACATGTTTTTATTAGGGCTGATGTATTTCTTCGTACATGTACCCATGCTGTTTGTGGGCAGCTTAAGCTTGACTTTCATGCATCCGTTATACGACGATACGATGATACGATAGTAATTTTATTTCGATTGGTTAGAAACGGTTAACAAATCGAAGCCTTTAAATTCAACTAATAAAATTAATATCGTATCATCCATCGTATCTTCGGACAACGGATGCATGAAAATCAAGCATTAATCGTAAGTGAGACTATAAATATAATGGTTGTCAAATATCAAAAAAATGATGCCATTAAGTGACATTAGTTTTCACTTGACAATCTAAACCATATATTATGAACGAAACACTCGTCTGTTTCTATATAAAAAGTCTTTCGGTTGTGTGAATGTGTCTGTTATAGTTAAATTATAAAAAGTATTTTATCGGTTTGTTCTAACAATACATTACCAAACTAGAGTTTATTACTACTACTAAGCGTACATACATACTATATATATATACACGTTAACTACTAAGTCAATAATATATATATTTATAAAAACCAAATAATTAATTATATATCTTTACTCTTTCAAAGTTGTCGGTTTATTTTGTGACTGCTTTTGACTTTTGAACTATACTTTTTATCGTCAAATCTACGCCATTGTATATCATTTGTATATCTAAAAGGTGATTTCCAATAAAAGAAATGTCAATTGTAGTTTGTCTTTTTTTTCTACCTTAAGCATAAATATTTCAGGGGAACTGTCCATTGTGAAAGGAAACCCACATAATTCATTTATAAATAAAAAAAACTGTGTGTGCACTATGTATGCACATTTGAATTGCTCAAGGTTGAAGTGATCGACTTTGATTGTATTTTGAGTCCAGTTACTTTTGGATTGTATGCATTGAAGTAGAGTTATGGGGATGATAAATAAAAGTAATTATCATTAAATATATATTTTTACTATTAAAATAATAAAACAAGTAACAGTTTACGTATCATTGATATTATCCAAAGAATATGGCGATTCGGCATTTGTTTTAAAGTAGTAGAGTCCATATCTGAATAAAAGAAAGTATCAAAAATTAATCTGGATACGTGAACGTTAAAATTTAAAACATAATACTGACTTGTAAGTCTCTGATTGGCCCATGTATACATCCGTGTCTTCTAAACATCTGCTGTACAGAGCATCTTCCAAAGAGGAACACTTCTTACAATTGAAGGCTTTTGAGTTAATTATGGATTCAGCAAAAAGCTGATACGATCTACCGTGGTTACAAAAAATAGTTTCAGTTGGTTTCACTATAAATAATTTAATAAATAAAGTTGAAACATTCACAGTTAAGTACCGCATAGTCGAAAAAAAAAGGCATCCAGTTGGCTGGGAAATGATGATCGATTATATTTTCCATATAAAATTACATATAAAATGACAGCGATCTTCATTTCATAGTCATTAGGCCAGTCAATCTGGAGGTTGAGGTGGAAAAAATTAGTAACCAACCGATCTCAACGGGAATGTGTAGATAATGATCTCCTATTTAACCCCTCAAAAGTCCCATTCGTTCCCAGTGGGGGAAGATTGAAAAAAACCGCCGCCATCTTGGATATTTTCGTTTTTTTTTCAAATATCTCCGTTTGCATAACTTTTTTCGAAAAATCTAAAGATGTATTTTTTGTAGAGAATTAAATTTAGAATATTTTACCTTCAATATTTTTTTCCTAAAATAAATAGTAATAGAGATAGAGCAATTTTTTACTATACGTTTTATAAATTTTCCAGTTTTTTAAACCGAGTAAGTAGTTTTAAGTAATATAGATAAACCAAATATAAATTTATGCATCAAAACAATTAAAAATGACCTTTAAATATTATTTATTAAATAAAATTATTGTTAAAAAAATTATTATTGAATTAAAGTTTTAAATAAAATCTGCTACGACGCGACGTCATCCTGAGTGTCATTTTCGTCCCCAACTAAAATACAAAAGTTTGTGCAATTGATTCCGTAGCACTGACCACACTTTGAAGAACCTTTAAGACCCAGTTTTCTACAAGAGCAATTTTTAGAGCACTGACTCTCTTTGCAATTGCAAAAAATTAATTTTAGTAGGTCAGGAGGCGCCACATCTTCTGTTGCTTGAATAGATGTCAGATTGCCTTTTTGATCTTTCTTCCATCCATACTATAAAGGATCTAACTTGTTACCAATCAACTTATAACATTTCCTATAATAGATATATATATATATATATATATATATATATATATATTGATATATATATATATATACTATATAGGATATAACTATATATATATCAACTTATATACATTTCCTATAATATATATATATTTACTCATATAATAGATATATCCTGACTCAGAACATACTTTCAGGCAACTGTGTCCTGAGTAAGTGTAGTTTTGCAGAGTTCTCAGTTGGAGACAAATGAGCTAAATGAAAGATAGTTTTAAGTGCTTGTCTTGGTGTAAACCTATTGTATAGAGTGTATCTCAGATAGTTAATATGTTTAATATAGCTTCGGCAGTTTGTTTAGCTTTAAAAGATAATTTAATGTTGACTAATTAAATTATCTTTTAAAGCTATATCACTGCCCAAGCTATATTAAACATATTATCCATCTGAGATGGTACCCGGTGGTGTAGAGGTACAGCTCTCGTCTACCAATCTAAAGGTTGTTCGAAGGTTCGAATCCTACAGCCGGTAGTTCATCAGTCGACTATTTTTAAGAAAATAAAAATAGTTTGGGCACCTAGGTTGACTCAGCCTTAAATGAGTACTTGGGATTCACAATCCTGAGGTAATAATAGGCGGTTACAGCGTAGTGCTAGCCACATTACCTTCCTTGTATACCGAACGGCACTAGCATGGCAAGATGTACCTTGCTACTCCCAAAACGTGAAACGCTATATACGGGATCCATTATTATATTATTATTAGATACACTCTATACAATAGCATTAAGTCAAGACAAGCCCTTAAGACTACCTTTAATTTAGCTAATTTGCCTCCAACTGAGAACTCTGCAAAACTCCATTTACTCAGGACATACTTTCAGGTAACTGTAATAAAATATATTATATGAAATGTTATCAGTTGTACTTTTTATATTTAAGAATTGGATTTGTACTAAGTTAGATCCTTTACAATATGGATGGAAGAGAGATCATAAAGGCAATCTAACACCTATTCAATAAACAGAAAATGTGGCGCCTCTTGACCTACTAAAATTAATTTTTTGCAATTGCTTAGAGAGTCAGTTCCCTAAAAATTGCTCTTGTAGAAAACTGGGTCTTAAATGTTTTTCAAAATGTGGTCAGTGCTACGGAATCAGTTGCACAAACTTATGTATTTTAGTTGAGGACGAAAATGACGCTCAGAATGACGTCATAGCAGATTTTATTTAATAACTTTAATTTAATAATATAATATTTTTTTAACAATAATTTTACTTAATAAATAATATTTAAACGTTATTTTTTTAATTGTTTTAATGCTTAAATTTATACTTGGTTTAAATATATATAAGTATACTGTTAACGCAAAAATTATAGCTGACTGGTTTAAAAAAACTGGAAAATTTATAAAACGTACAGTAAAAAATTGCTCTATCTCAATTACTATTTATTTTAGAAAGGAAGTGATTGAAGGTAAAATATGAAAGGAAGTGATTGAAGGTAAATTTTATACTCTACAAAAAACATATTTTTAGTTTTTTCGAAAAAAGTTATGCAAACGGAGATATTTGAAAAAAACGAAAAAATCCAAGATGGCGGCGGTTTTTTTCAAACTTCCCCCACTGGGACCGAATGGGACTTTTGAGGGGTTAAATGGGAGATCATTATCTACACATTCCCGTTGAGATTGGTTGGTTACTAATTTTTTCCACCTTTACATATAATACTCGGCTACGTTTACTGGCCTACATCGCTGACGCCGTTTATTTTTCGATCATACTGTAGTATTGTAAAATAAAACATTAACACTGAAAAAAAGAACATGTAAAATTAATCGGTAAAGTTTTGTATATTTTTTTTTAATCTGTCCTAGGAGTATGAAATTTTACACAGCAATAGGTTAAGTAACGAATGTAAGTAAAGCAATTTTTGGAAATTCATCCTTTAAAGGTAAAGTTTGGGGTGAAAGCTTGTACAAAAATTCAAATTCGTTAAAATAGTTCTAGAAGTATTTTTTTAAGTGAGAATTAAGAAAAGAGATTTTTGTAAATTCATTTTTAAGTTACAATCCTAAAAGAAATTCGAATGTTATGCGAACGACGCGCGACGTCGCGGGCAGTAGCTAGTCTAAACAGAAGATCAGCATTTTAAAAATAAATGGTGTTATTATATTAATGATAACACTAAACTCATACTAGCCCTGGTCACTATATTTTCGTGGTCTATATTTTAATGCGTACGGCAGAGATAAATTGACCAGTTGACAGATACAAAATAAAAAGCCGTATACAGTGTCACCAAAATTACTTCACGCGTAAGAAAGTAATTATTTTGAATGACAGTATACTGAGCCCAAAAAATTGTGATTAAAAAACTTACATTTATTGATATCTGGACATCCTGGTTGGTATCTGCCTCCATTAGGATAAAAATCAACGTGTCCTAAAGGTCTGGTTATACCGATAACCCGCATGAATGTGTGAACAACATCTACAAGTTTGGCATCCTGTGGGTCGAGCCTTAAATCTTCACTAATATCACCATAACCTGGTCCAGCTGGATCTAAACCTATTATAATGTGATATATGATATACAATTGATCAAATAGTTTTATGATGAATTTATGATTAAGAGGACTTTTTGGTATTATTGAAAAGAATTACGTTAGCGATGTGAAAAGGAAGATCGCTGTCATTTTTATGTAAAATTATGTGGGAATGTCTACGGTCGTCATTTCAAAGCCAACTGGACGGCTTTTTTTTGAAAGAGTAATAAAAACATTCCCTCCCAGTATTGTATACTATTTTATTTAATACACTCCGTTAGTCAAATATAGGTAAAGAAAAAAAAATTGATAATGAAAAGATGTAGTAAACAGCAAATCTGAATTTTTTTGTTTTGTCAATTCTGAATTTCTCGTTCTTTATTTCGAATTTGTGTAACAAATGAATCCACAATGTTGTCAGAAAGTCAAGTAATCGAAGACAGTTTTAAAAATGGTACCCCACTAGAACTTAAGGAAGCTGCAGAGAGTGCAGATCGAGGTGCAGATGCAAGAGGAACGAGAGAAGACGATGATAGCACAGTTTAAAGAATATAAATATATCAGTTGGCCCACACTAAGGAATTCTATTGTTATTTTGACTACAAAGGCGGCCCGTGACCCTTCGAGGTGACAAAAAATTTGTACGTTTACCGGGTGCAGCGGAAGTGCTATTTTATCAGTCAGAACGCTGGCCGTTTACGAGGGATCAACTAAAAATACTAAGGAATTTTAATATAGCAAGTAGAAAAATAAAAATACAGTACTAGTTTTATTGATTAACAGTTTTAGGCGTCTTTAATAATTGATCAATATTTATTAGTAATTTGTATTAAATATACATTAATATTAAAATATTAGATATATTATTCTATCCTAATTCTTTGTAATATGGAATTGTCAATAGGGTAATTATTATTAATAATTATTATGGAAACCCGATATGAAAAATGTATACTAAATAAATATAATAAGTTAATTTTTTTAATATATATAATAATAATTTGCATATTTTTTAATTATAGCATGTTTTGCTCTATAGATGTTTGCATTTTACTTTAATTACCTACCCGGAAAGCCCAAATTTTATCGTAAGGTAATAAAGAACCTTTGCATACAACTTGTATTGCCATTGTCAATTTTTTTGAATTTTTTCTAAATTTTATGATTATCATGAACAGTAATTATGACTGTTAGTAGTTAATTGTGTAATAAATTTTACTGTTCGATACAATTTAGTAAAAACCGAAAAAAAATTGACTATGGGAAGACAAGTTGTATCCAAGTACTTTTTATTACCTTTTAATAAAAGGTAGATAATTCAAGTTCAATGCAAACAGCTAAAAAAGCAAAACATGCTATAACTTAAGAAATATGCAAATATAATTTATTGCAGTATTTACTACTAATTGAAGAGCACACGGGAAAATAACGAAAGCACCAAAAAGATACACCTTTTGGTACCTAAATAAACAGGAATATCGATAACGGCTACATAGAAACAGGCATTTAAAAATGGGAAAACAATATAAACTCGGATATAAAAGTCCATGCGTAATTTCAATAAAAAAAACGGTTTCCTGAACATTTTTCATTTCTGGATACTCATCGTGTTTCCCATGTGCTCGTCAATTGTTATATTTACTGTTACATAAAATTTAGTAAAAACTCTAAAAAACTTGTTAATAGCCGAAGAAGTTGTATGCACGTATTTTTATTACCCGACGATAAAATTTGGACTTCCAGGTAGCTAGTTAAAGTTAAATACAAACATCTAAAAAGTAAAACATGCTATTTAAAAAATGCAAATATCTTAAAAAATAATTTAATATGCACTTTGCAAACCGGTAAATACTGCAAAATCCAAAACATAATAGTAAAGTATCTACTACTACTCTAAAATATCTACTAAAATAATAAACTAATTGTTAAAAATAAATATTTTGTGCATATTTCGAGTAAAATCTTTTCTTAATTTATATGTATATTTTTAAAACCATTTTTTCATAGTTAGGTTTCCATAATTATAATATAGGTACTTAATATGTCTAATACTTTAATTATTATATACTTAACATCCTATACTATATAAACACATACCTTCCTTCGTCTTTTGGGCACCTAAAGAACGATATATTATGTGTCATTCTACTTTCACAACTATCCACTGCACAAATATTTCTAGTAGATATTTTATTCACAATTCGAACAAAACAACTAAAACACTATTTTTGGTTCACCCTATGCGTCGGACCGAAAACAAAACTAAAATAAACTTGGAACGCTGTGTACACGTCGAGCAACGGATGTAGACTGACCCAAGTCTGCAAGACAGGCGGTGAGCGGCGGGAGGAATTTTGATACGGGCGAAGAGTGGGTCAACTGATATATTTATATTCTTTAAACTGTGATGATAGAAATAAGTGAGAGAAATGGAAGAGGAAAGAAAATGAAAATGTAGATATAATAATGCTTGACTAAGAACATTGCTAGCTTAAATAACTTCTGAGAGACTATTGACAAGGAATAGTAGAAATGGATAAAACATAGTTAAAATTATTTCTAAAAATAGGAACATGAAAAAATAATGTTTATTAAATATTTTTTTACTGAGCACTAACAAATTTAGAACCATACTTTTTTCAAATAAAAATAAGCATATATTTTCACTGAATTCTCGTCCAAAAATGTATAGCCAGATTAATTTGAGGAATACTTAGTTATTTAAAATTAAAAAGCTACCATTATTTTGGGATATTAAAAATAATTCCAAGAGAAATGAATTCCATAAAGATATATCTTGATATAAGAAGTATTTATTGAAATATAAATCATAGATATTTAATCTAATCTATTGACTTTAAAAATAATATATTTGTTACGAATTTTGATAAAAATAAACCTTAATTATTACCACAGTATACATATTTGTCATTGGAGATGTTATAATCAATAAAATTAAATTCCAAATTTCAGAAATATCTTGCATGTTATCAAATTACACCATATATCAAAATATATATTAAGGCAATAATATATAAGCCCTAGCGAAACAAGGTATTGACAGGCCTTATATAGAAACTCTCGACGATATAGGTATACAAAGAAGCCAAAGCAAGAGTAATGATATATAAAACAACCACCGAGTTATAGTTGAGGAGACGCGATACCCCCAAAGCTGTTTACAGCAACACTGGCACAGGTTATTACTCGTAGATGGTTAGAATATAAGTTATTAAGGTTATTAAGATTTGCTGATGGCATATTCCTAATTGCCAATAGTCCTGAAGTTCCCCTAATTAAAGAAATAAATACAGCCAACGATAAAGTAGGCCTCAATATGAATTTATCAATAGATAGGAAGTAATAGATAGGAACATGGTTAAATTGAGGCAAAGTTGCGCTTTGGAATGTTCACCAAGATGCCATCAAAAAAGTTTTAAAAATTTCAAGGATTACTGAGTTTTTTGGAAAAAACGGATTTTTTTGAAAATTAATTTTATTTTTTCCTGTCGTTACTTTTAAGAAAATCGAAAAACTAATTGCACATTCTCATAGCCACTTTATAAGGGTTATCTGACAGTATTTTTAGATTTTCAAATTAGCTGATAATTTGTGAGATACAGAGGCTAACTTAATTTGTTTAAATACGGACCTGCATTTTTTATTTCAGATTTTGAAGGAACCCGGTCTCGTGAGTACAATGATATGCCACACTTAATATTTTTTTTTGTTTCTGACATTTTAACACAATTTATTTAAACTAATTTCAAGTCCGGCTTTGTTTTTTTTAATATTTAATCTATTCATCGTTACAATATTGATAAGCTTTCAAACTTAACAATGACGTGGGGTAAAACATTGAATATGGAAAATCAAATGCAATAAAATAATAAAAAATAATATACAAATGAATATATTACTTCACGTCATCTGTAAAAGTGAAATTAATACATCTCAACATTTACAATAAAGATTACAAAATGCATTCAGAAGTATAAGAAGAAAGTTCAAAGAGCTATAAATAAAATTGAACGAAAAATAAATGTGTGCAATAGGGAGGGTGGTAACCCTTCCGAACATGTAGAGCAGTAGAAACTAGTTTGTAGAAGTTGATTTATTTATAATAACTACGATTAATATTACGCATATTATTAGATCGCACACTGAGAATTCAAATTCACAATAAAAAAAGTTAAAAATAATATCTTTAGATTGCCATGACATGGATATAATTCATTTGAATCTTCCAATTGGCTCGATTTTCCTTATTCAATGTTGTTAATTAGCCCTGATCAATATTGTTGCCATAAATATAATCAGATTAAATAATTTAAAAAACCAGAGTTGGACTTGAAATTATTTTAAATAATAATTAAATAGTTTTGATGTTGTTAAGGTACCTAAAGCAAAAAAAAGTATAAAGTGTGGCATATCATTGTACTCAGGAGACAGAGTTCTTTCAAAACTGGAAATAAAAAATGCAGGTCCGTATTTAAAAAAAATAAGTTGACCTCTGTATCTCATAATTTATCAGCTAATTTGAAAATCTAAAAATACTGTCAGACAGCACTAATGAAGTGGCTATGAGAATGTGCAATTAGTTTTTTGATTTTCTTAAAAGTAACGACAGGAAAAAATAAAATTCATTTTCAAAAAAATCCGTTTTTTCCAGAAAGCTAAGTAATCCTTGAAATTTTTAAAACGCTTTTGATGGCATCTTGGTAAACATCTCAAAGCGCAACTTTGCCCCAATTTAACCATGTTCGTATCTATTACGGTTACCGAGATACCAATGCTCGTACCTCGAATTTGTAGCATCCTGTATATGTTACCCTTGTATATGAATTTAAGTAGCTCAACCTAAGATGTTTATGGATGTAAAGCACCAGATGGCGAGGCGTATTTCACAGTCTTTTACTACAGAAAAATATTTTTTGTTACTCTGAATTTTGAAGCGGCCAATAAAAACAGAGAAAATAAAAATCGATAATTTTCGGACTGTGCCAATTGGTTACTAATCGAC